TGCTATCGGGATGTTAAGAGCATTCCATGGAATATAACAAAAAGTGTATCTCGAGCCGGTTTCTCAAACTTACCTACCCCACCTTTAAGGTTAAATTCCCAAAGCATGTTCATTTTCTGTGTGATCTGCATTTTGGTGTCTTAAATTATAAAGATGCATGCAGCCAGTGGTGGAATGTAACTAATTACATTTACTCAAGTACTGTACTTAAGTTTAAGTTACTTGTACTTTATTTGAGTATTTTCATTTTATGCTACTTTATACTTTTAGTCCAGTACATGTTGCAAGCAAATGTTGCACTTTTTACTCCACTACATTTAGTTTACAGATTTAGTTACTAGTTACTTTGCTGATTGAGATGATAAAATATACAAAATATAAATCGACTTATACATTATCATATCCTATTATAGGGTAAGCTACCCAGTAGTATATACAGTATTTCAAATAAACCCCACCTGTACCGTAGTGAACACATTAATGCATCAATAAATATAATACAACAATTTAAAATAAATAGTGCTTAAACAACTCATTCTGCATAAGGACACTTTTACTTTTGGTATCTAAAGTTTATTTTCATGCTAATACTTTTGTACTTTTACACAAGTACAATTTTAAATGCGGGACTTTAACTAATAAGTGTTTTGTTTTTGTGCAGTGTACTATTGCTACGTTTACTTTAGTAAATAATCTGATACTTCTTCCACCTCTGCATGCAGTATGGATTCTTCTAAATTATATTTTATTTTACAATGTCAGCCTGGATATCTCTGCATACATTAAGTATTTGGAAGACACATTAAGTAGGGCCTACATGTGGGGCACACATATATTGTATTAAATAAAAGCAACTGTCATTAACAATAATTGTAAACACATTTGATGAAAAACAAAAAGGCAACACATTTATTAAGTTATCCAAGTATAGAATAAACAAAAACTTGAAGTAGTTGTTTCTTTTTTAGAAGCACATCTCTCACCCAGGGAATAAAACGTTCAGAACTCAAAAGTGAATACTTCATAACTTTTGCAGCTTCTTCAACTATAATACTTTTTCCACTGTAACTTCTCCTACATTTAACGCAAGGTAAAATGTTTGTTTTTTGAAAAGTTGCAAAGGCTCACACAAGACTATTGTCGTCGCTGCTCTCCACAAAAACAAACTCGCTGATGAGGTCATGGTTTTCACGATAGTTTATTGGAGGAGGGACACTCAGACATTTTATTACAAGGACGTAAAGGTAGGGGCGTAACAACATTTTTTTTTAAGAACGTCGTTTCGTTTTTTCGTTCAACGAGAGGACGGTTTATCTAGGTTTCAGAGTATTTCAAATTAATAACTACGGAATCTGAAATATGGCGGATCAAATCCCACAGTTATTTGGGACAGGGTACGTGTGTGTATTTCTCTTTCTTTCTGCCATGATTGACACGGTGTCTACCGTCACACATTATTCTGTTCCCGAAGAAATGGAAGAAGGCTCAGTCGTTGCTAATTTAGCAACAGATCTGGGATTAGACGTGAAGACGCTAAAGGGAAGGAAAATGCGCGTAGACGTAGTAGGAAATAAAAAGTATATCGATATCAACAAAGACACAGGAGAGCTGTTCATCATGGAAAGGATCGACAGAGAGTTTTTATGCCCGTTAAAAACAACAACATACTGTGTTCTTAAATTGGATGCTACAATTGAAAACCCGATACGAATGTTTAACATTGAGGTGGAAATCACGGACATTAACGACAACGCTCCTCATTTCCGACGGGGAACGATGCATTTGGACATATCTGAATCAAGCCCAGTTGGAGAGAGATTCTCATTGAACAATGCTGCAGACCCAGATGTTGGAACAAATTCTGTGAACAATTACCATCTGAGCTCAAGTGAACATTTTGCACTGGAAATTCAGACCGGGAGAGACGGGTCAAAGTTTGCTGATTTGATTTTGAAAAAAGCATTAGATAGAGAGCAGCAGGCTGTGCATAATCTTATTCTCACTGCTGTGGACGGTGGAGTGCCCACGCGCACAGGTACAGCCAGCATAATTGTTCGCGTGCTTGATGTGAACGACAACGCCCCGTCATTTGATAAAGACAAATACATCATAGATGTGATGGAAAACTCCCCCATTGGCAGTCTAGTAATACAATTAAACGCTACCGATTTAGACGAAGGGTCAAATTCTGATATTATGTATTCATATAGTTTATATACATCAGAGAGAACACAACAGGTGTTTAACTTAAATCCAGAAAATGGTGAAATCAGAGTGAAAGAGATGATAAATTATGAAGATTTTAAACTTTATGAAATGGAAGTTATTGCCAGTGATAAGGGGCCTAACTCCTTAACTGGACAGTGTAAACTGACAATACAGGTGAAAGATATGAATGACAATCATCCAGAAATATCCATCAAGTCTTTTCAAAGTCCAATTAAAGAAAACATAGAATTAGACACAGTGATAGCAGTGGTGAGTGTCAGTGATAAAGACTCAGGGGACAATGGAGTGGTTGATCTTCACATTCCAGATAACATGCCTTTCAAACTGAGGGAGTCCTCTGATAACTATTATGAATTAGTGGTGTCAGAGCCGTTAGACCGTGAGAGGGTCCCTGAATATGACATAACTTTCACTGTGACAGACAGAGGCTCTCCTCCTTTATCTGACAATGAAACAATGACCTTAGAGCTGCTGGATGTTAATGACAATGTGCCACAGTTCCCTCAGTCATTTTATACTATACGTGTGGCGGAGAATAACGCTCCTGGAGCCCTGCTCAGTTCCCCAACTGCATTTGACCCTGACCTCCATGAAAACCAGTATCTTGTGTATTTCATCCTAGAGAGGGAGATAGCCAACACCTCCATGTCCATGCTGTTCTCCATCAACCCAGAGAACGGGAATCTTTACGCACTAAAAACTTTTGACTACGAGATCGAGAAGGAGTTTCTCTTCCACATCGAGGCCAGAGACTCTGGCTCTCCTCCTCTCAGCAGTAACGTGACGGTGCACATCATCATTGTGGACCAGAACGACAACGCTCCGGTTATTGTCTCTCCGTGGCGCGCACACGGCTCGGTGGTGGAGGAAAAGATCCCCAGATCCACCGATAAAGGCTCTCTGGTTTCTAAAGTGATAGCCTTGGACACAGACTCGGTGCACAACTCCCGGATCACCTACCAGTTCCTGCAGGTGACTGACGCCACCTTGTTCAGTCTGGACCAATACAACGGAGAGATCCGGACCATGAGGATGTTCAGCTACAGAGACCCGCGCCACCAGAGACTGGTTGTCGTTGCCAAGGACAACGGGGAGCCTGCCCTCTCTGCTACAGTCACCATCAAGCTGTCCACAGTGGAGACTGCCGTGAAGGCCTACTCTGACATGACCGAGGTGCCTCTAGAATATGACATCTTCTCAGACCTCAACCTGTACCTGGTCATCGGTCTGGGCTCCGTGTCATTTCTCCTGCTGATCACCATATTGGTCACCATCGTGATCAAGTGTCAGAAACCCAAGCCCAGCAAAGCGGCTCCTCCCTGCAGGAACAGTGTGATAAGTGAGAGGAACTCCACCATCGCAGACTCCACTCTGGTCTCCAACGACGCCTACTGGTACAGTATGCTTCTAGCAGAGACCAGGAAAGGAAAGATGGTGGTCAGGCAGCCTGTGCCAAAGGGCTCCAGATACATCGTGTCCAGTTTACCACGAGGCACTGGACTCACAGACACTAGTGACTCAGCAGCCTCCACTCTGCAGGTACAGATAACCGCTCACTTTAACATAACTAAATCCTTCAAATATTGGCCTATCTGTTTGCAGTATGGAACCACACATTATTGTGCTCTTCTTCTCTTGTAGTCTGTGTTTTGCAAGTCATACTTTTTGGCTTGAGTTTTTCTTTGTGCGATAACTCTTCACACTTGCTCTTCATTTATTACTGTAACAACAAAGTTCCACAGCACTAAATCCCTCTGATATTCTGTAGCTAAAACTGTAAATATTCTCTAAAGTTTCCTTTTCATAATTTAACATGTATCTACTAAAAATGAACCTAACAAAGGTAATCTCCCAATGTCACCTACAACATTCCTCAAGGGGAAAAGCCTTAGCAATGCTGACCATGTTAAAAAACTCCACTGAAATAAAAAACAAATAAAACCATTAATAGCAACAAACCTGAAGAAACAATTGAGCATGTCTGGGTACACCTCTGCTTTTTTAAATATCCTGCAGCTTTTTTAACTTAAAGTGTTGCTTGCGTTTTTCATTTGTAATTTCTCCAGAGACATATCTGGTTGACTTTTACTTGTGGTGAATATACAGTACATATTAGTCTAATGGTTTTTAATCACTATTTTATTCACTGCAAATGAAAATACAATCAATATAAATCAGAACCGAGATTTTATTCACAAAGAGCTTGTATAACACTTTACAAATGAGGATCTTGTGAGTAAGGCTTCTTTCAATTTATGAAAACACATGTTAAACACATGTTTTCTGTTGTTTTAACAAATAATATCCAACATAATGCACAACACAGTTTTCTCTGTTTTGAACAATGACAACTGTTTTGTGCTCAAACCATTTTTCTATCTATCTATCTATCTATCTATCTATCTATCTATCTATCTATCTATCTATCTATCTATCTATCTATCTATCTATCTATCTATCTATCTATCTATCTATCTATCTATCTATCTATCTATCTATGATGGTAAGTATGCTGCTGTTATAGCTACATTTTAACAGTTCAACCCACTTTTATAGAACACATTGTAACAACTGCAGACTCAGTTATTAAGTGTCACACTAACCATTTCTAACACTAACTAAGCTGTGGTATTTTTCCAAACATGACTTAACATTCTTATTCCTTTGATACCAACCCTATGATCGTAGGATACATACACCAGTAATCATTTCTTGTGTTTGCAATGACCTGACCATTGAACTGCTTGTTTCTTTTTCTCCTCACTCTAAAGTACCCTAAATGAGGAAAGTCCACTCAGCAGCTGGAGGTATGCAGGAGTCTCACTCCCCACCCTGGATGCCCTTTAATGAATCATGTTACAGAACATATGGGTTTGATTGTTTTGTGAATGTGTTTATTTGTTTGTCCTCAGTAGTTCTTTTTAAAATGATTTTGTCTTCTTTAGTTTCTCTTGGACAACATTTTTTTTAATTGCAAAGGAGCAAGTTGACATCACATGCTGCTTGTCAAATCTCTGGTGTTAACCTCTTTCTGCCAAAAATGTGGTTACTGATATTTATATTACAGCTTCATCACCAAAGCCATCTAACATGTATCCATGCAATTTAAGTACACTCATAATAATCTATAATCTTAATGTATTTATAAAGAGTCTTACACTGAGACTGTGGTCAGTTTTGCCAACAAGCAAAACTGGTGTAGTTGTATGCAGTATTTCTGTCTTAGTCATTACTTTTGTGAACAGAGTAAAAGTCAACTAATCAGTCGCACATTGATTTTTATTTTTAATACAAAATGACAACATCACCATGCTGCTCTGTCTGAAAGTCATTTGAATCCATTACTTCAACTAGCAATAACACAATTTACGGGCTTTTGCTTTTTTCCCCACAATCTGGCTTCTGCTTAGAAAATATCAATGTCTTAAATTGGTCCTGTGCATGTGAAGAATAATGTGTATTCAACCCCTACTGACCCATCACTGATAGATTATTATATTATAATTCCTATTTGTGTTTATTGGTGGGATTGTGCTGTGCTGTTGCTGTATGCTTTGGTTGGTAATACTATATTTTGAGTGTTACTGACTTCACAGAATGACACTTTGATTTTCTGTCTGCTGTAGCGTGAATTGTGACCTACTTCTTTATGCAGGAGAGGCGCAAAGTGAAACCAGTCACCCAGTTACCTAGCAACCACTCTCCTTCACATCATTTTGGAGCATGGTATTCATAGACCACCTCAACCTACACTTTGTCTCCAGCCTGAAGCCCCTGTCTGAGTGACAGACATGTGCTGCATGTGATGTTTCTGTTAGTGCTGTGTTTTGTTTCCAGATGTATCTAATTCTCTTTTCTTGTTTTCCAGGCATCCACCAGCAGCAGCAGGAGCTCCACACAAGGCCACACCCTCAGCTGCGTATTGGATTAACGCTGACAGGAAAGGAGAAACCCCCAGTCTGTTATGACCCCCCACATCCATCCTGCCCACTCTTATCCTTGTTCCTCACAATATGTAGCCGTCATGCCATAACACCAAATGGACTATGGTGGCTAATTAAGGAAACAAGCCCTCCCCCTCTCTTTTTTCAAGCACATGAAAAGCCTATCAACATTGCCTCTCTGTCCATTCAATACGCATGATTAGACTGCATGGCTTCAACCACACTCTGAGACCCCTCATACAAACAATTTTCATTTGGAAACACTTGCAAAGAAGTAGACTGTATGAAAGATTACAACTGTGGATATCTAAAGAAGCCTCAACAAGGACTGCGTGGACATGGGAATGTTGAAATGCCTTTATTAAGAGACTGTTTCCCCTCTCTAAAATGAAACACATGTTGGATATTACAATATGAACCTCTGTGCTTTGTCTTGATCCTTAACAGTATTGATGTATAATATACAAGTTAACTAAAAAGTGAAACAGCACAACCAACTATACAAAAAAAGCACCAATATTTTAAAGTATGAAAAGAAAGTGGATCAGTATTTTATAGATGTGGTAGCTTTCAACAGTTTTATGTTTTGTACATTACTTTGTGCTGTATATATGAGCTAAGCCTGAATATATGAATGATATTGCTGAGAGAAAGTTAACCAGTACATTAAACAGATGAACGTGAGTCCTTTAGCCATTATGTATCTGCCTTTCAGTTGTTTTTGCATGGGATGATCAAAGTACGGATTATAAGAAATTGAGCAATCACTTTCTTTAGTTAGGCCGAACAGTTTAGTATTTTTCAAAACAAGATTGAAGATTACATTTCATCAAGAAGACAATGAAGAAGTCAAACAGCATAATAATTGGATGTATTCCGATAATTAAGTACTCTCAGCTTAAATTTAAATATACATGGTGCTTGAATGTTATGTTCACTTGAACGCAAGTGAAACATAAGAGCCTAGAGGACTGTGAAGACCGTGAATCTTCAAGAATTGTTTGAATATCTTCTCATAACTATGTAAATACAACACAAACATGGCCATGTTTTCACTTTTTTATTTTAAAAGCCAAACTGTGTGGATGTTCCTGTATTTCAACCTTTTGAGATTGTGTTTCAAGTTAAAAAACTCACTAAATGACTCAATGTTTACTTTACAATGCTGAAATACTGAATACTGGTTGTGCCCAAATGAAAGCTGTGCTGATGTCTATTACTATGACTACTTTCTCTATTTAGATATATCATAAGCCTGTATCTATAAAAATGTAATTCTTTTCAATTACCAATGCTGAACTTTTGTAAAGATAAACAGTGGAATTTCTGTGCCATCAGATTTAAGTGTATGCAAATCATTCACATGATCAGTTATTACGTAGTCCCATTGTTTAGCACAGCTCAAATTGCATTGTATAAAGTTGTTTTGTTGAACAGGCAAACATATACAATAAGTGCTTTTGTACAGTGGACTGTTATGGTGCATTATGTAGTCATGTGTGTAATGTGAGCTTATTGTATGCTATGGTCTGTATGATCTATTAAATATAAAAACGAAATACTAAAACAATCATAATAGTAAACTTCTGAATCTCTTGAGTGTCATCTTGAGGTCTAATAGCATTCATTTAGGACTATTGCACTGTTTGAAAATGAGTTTTCATTATAGTATACAAAGCATATCAAGCTTGAGTGAATCTTCTATAAACTAGATCTGTGATGATGATTTCTTAATTATGATGCCTGCACCCCACCTTTATCAGCTAGTTAACTAACTGGCTTATGTTTCACTTCTTAAAATGTATTTCAGTTTAAACAACTAATATAAGTGATTTATAAAACAAATTACAAGCACGTGTTTGAACAGAACCACATAAGTCTGAATCACATCAAGGGACAGTCATTTTTTTTTTTAAATGCATACATTTAAATTCAATTGGAGCTTTATTAATTTTACTTTAGTTTGAGGGGCTTTTTTCCGGTCCGGCAGTGCATTTCCATAGCTAAATATTTGTTATAATGATTATAAATATATTGTTGTATAGGCCTTTTTTAATGCATCCATGCTTCTTTTTTACATATTGAGAATAACTAAGTTTTTCAGATCAGATGGCTCTAGTTCATTTTTTTATTAATTCAAATACACAATATGTGTAAGACAAAACAAGAGGGACAGGCAATTAAAAAAGTCCTTGAAAACACCTCTCTAATGTATGATGTCGGTGGAAACTGGCTCCAGCTTTGTGCTCGTTCTGGACTGTCTTCCCTGATCCAAGTCAGCACTACCATCATCTGTGAGGACGTCATGACCATCTTTAACCTGCAAGGAAACACAATGTTAAAATACCTTTATATGAAAAAGAAGCAACCACATTATGTCTTAAATTAAGTTTTAAATACAGTCTTATAAAATGTTGCTAAATGTCCCAAGCTGACTGAAGGGTGTATGGTGAGCGTAGAGGGATATACTTTATTCAAATGTAATAAAAAAAACTCAGTGTTTTGTATAAGTGTTAGGTTTGTAGAGAACTTGCATGATTTTTTTCTTCTATGAGGATTGAACAATGAGTGTGTCTGTCTCTGTGTGAACACATGACCTCATCTCTCTGGGGAGATGAGCTCATCACACAGAAACCTTCAAGTTTCAGCAGCAATTTGTATCACTTAACGAACGATCATTTGTTTTATGTCTTCTAAATAAGGCAACAATAATGTTTTTTTTTAAATATGGATCTTAATTTAGATGCTATTATGTTTTATTGGAGCAAAGTGAAATAAGAAAAATGTTGAGATCAGAAAATTGTTGTGTGCCCTTTTCTTTTCACCACTTGACTCTCAGAGAAAAATCTCACACTGGCTCTCTGATGCTCTGCTCCACTGGCAGACTAGCACCAGCACACTGACAATGCACCATGCATGTGTAACAAAGCACTAGAAGAGCCACCAGCTGCCACTAGTAGGCTAACCCATGTGCACCTACATAAAACCTCAAAGTGCTCTGATTACTATATATCTAGAGTTTTATTTTCTCTGCATTATTTTTGTAATACAGGGGGGGAAAAGGCGATTTGAGGGGTTGGTATATGACATGGGCTGCATGTACTTGCTTTCCTCATTGCATTCAATACAACATAATAATTAAGGTATTTATAATAAACCCTAATGGAGGGATATGACTGTGAAGAGGGATACATGAGAATAAACAGTGTCAGGGTATATGGATGCAGCAGACTTTCTTTGTCTGCAGCATTCACAGCTCCTGCCTCCCTCCCCCTCTGCTTCCTTCCTCTGAGCAATGCTTGCTTTTAGCACCATGGACAGCGACCTGCATACTGGAGCTGCGTTGCCATGGCGACGTGCTGTCTTTTCGCTGGAGGTCACGCTGTGCTCTGAAGCTGCGTGTAATTTAATATTCGTACACAGTGCAGCAGCCGCAGCGTGCAGACATCAGATCAGATGCCTATTATTTGGCAAATATCACTACTTCTGCCTATAAAGGGCTGATAATAACAGTCATTAGGGGTTAAAACATAGTCAATTGTAGCATAGATGCAGCTTGGGGGAAACGTAGGAGGCAGAAATGGGACGAGGAGCTCCACAATGCGGCAGCGCTCGTGCACGCGCACGTATATAGTTGGCCTAATTCCAGACCCAATACGTAACCATGCATGTGGGAGGGGTGCGGATATTATTTTTATTTCTTCTTGTTTTTTCTGCATTTGTCACTTTGTGTCCTACCTGCAGTTATTGTGAATGTCATTTTCTATCATGATTTATTGTGCATATTCCCCGGCACTCCTGCAGCATGGGGCTCACGGCACAATGTCACATGAACCACTGCAGACATACGAGTGGGCTCATCCCAACTGCATGTGCAGGTTTAATCCATGAGATGTCACTGCTCATCCCTTCAATAGTAGAAAGATTGTGGGAGTGTGCTGAGAAGACCTCACTGAGTTTAAACGAGAATATGAATGTCACATTAAACATTTGCTTTATTTTACAGATTCATCGTTTCAGTTGAACATTACATTTTTACATTTGTATGTGTTTTAAAAAAAATATTTTTCTAGTTATTGTGCTTTTTATCATGTTTTTAATTATTGTTTTATTATTGTACTCCCATTGTGTTATTTAATATTTATTGCCTGTACAGCACTTTGGTCAACTGAAGGTTGTTTTAAATGTGCTATATAAATAAATAAAGATTGAGATTGAGATTGTAAGAATATGCTTTAACATACACAACAATATCAAAACAGGACATTTTCCACAACTGATGTGATTATAAAGTTTACTCCCACTTCTCGCGTCTACTGCTTAAATTATGTGGGGAAGCATTTTAGCAAAAGAACACACAGGCTAAACTGGAAGAAAATGTATAACTGCAAGCGGCACAATCGTTAAGGTGACAACGGGTGGTGCTGTTACACTATAAATCACGACAGTGGCTGTGTGTGAGAGGTGCTGTTTTTTTAAATGTGCATTCAGTATGAACCCGAAGAGACGGTTGGACGGCGGGTAAAACATCCTTTATTTTTCTCTCGTAATGATGGTTACCGTAGACTGTTTTTGTTTAATATCCGTGAGAGAAAACTGAAAACCATGTCATAATAATTGTGTTAACAGAACACAGATCGTTTAAAAAAGGCTTTTTCCGAAAATGGCGATAACGCAAATGAGAGGACAATGGCTGGATATGTGGATATCTTTTTGTTTGGCGCTGCTGCTTGTGACTTATTTGGGAGGAATCTCTGCTCAGATACGTTATTCCATCCAGGAAGAATTAAGAATAGGCACCGTGGTTGGACATGTGGCCAAAGACCTTGGATTAGATCTCGGAAGACTGACGGATAGGAATCTTCGGGTCGTGTCTGGAACAAAGCAGGATCTGTTTAAGGTAAATCCAAGGGATGGAGTTTTGTTGCTGAACCAAATAATAGACAGGGAGCAGCTTTGTGCAAAAACTGCTCCATGCATCGCAAATCTGAAAGCAATCGTAGAAAATCCACTCGAGATGCACCAGATAACAGTTGAAATACTCGATGTAAACGACAATTCACCCACATTTCCTGAAGAAAACTACACATTAGAGGTGCTCGAGTCCGCCATAGTTGGATCTAGATTTCAAATGGAGGGAGCACACGACTTGGATGTTGGTTTGAATTCCTTACAAACATATAAGCTTAACAATGACCAGTATTTTCGCCTGGAGACAGAGGAATTTGGAGAGGATGGAAAGGTTCCGTTCCTAATCTTACAGCGACCCTTGGATAGAGAACACGCCGCTCAACTCTGGTTACACTTAACAGCTAATGATGGAGGTAAACCATCTAAATCTGGTACTATTAATATCACTGTTAATGTGTCAGACGTAAATGACAACCCGCCAGTGTGTGATAAACAGAAATACACAGTAACAATAAAGGAAAACGCACCTGCAGGAACATTTCTGCTGACAGTAAATGCATCTGACTCGGATGAGGGGATGAACGGTGAGGTCGAATACTCTTTGCGAAGTAAACATCGAGGAGCATCATCTGAACCGTTTGATTTGAATAGCAAAACTGGCAAATTAACGGTGAAAGGTGGCCTTGATTATGAGGAAAAGCAAGTATATGAGATAAAGGTACTGGCTGCAGACAAAGCTGCCGTGTCTCTTTCCACACAGTGCAACGTGGTTGTCAGAGTGGAAGATGTAAACGATAATCAACCCGAAATAGAGATCACATCCCTTTCTAGTCAAATTCCAGAGGATGCACCTCCTGGCACGGTGGTGGCGTTGATGGGTGTGACGGACCTCGACTCAGGTGTGAACGGACAGGTGGTCTGCAGTGTGCCCGGCCATTTACCCTTTGACCTAAAGCCTTCTCCTGACGGACAGTCATACTCGTTGGTCACCAAGGACTACCTAGATAAGGAAACCATGCATATGTATTCTATAACGATAACAGCTAAGGATTTAGGGAGCCCCGCCCTGTCATCTACAAAGGTGATACACGTAGACGTCCTAGATATTAATGACAACAGTCCTTTCTTCATTGGAAGCCCATACACTTTTTGTGTGCCTGAAAACAACAAAGTTGGAATGTCGATTTTTTCAGTGATCGCAACAGATGCCGATGGAGGCGAAAATGCAGAAGTCACATTTTCACTCAACCGTAAGAGCGCAGGGTCCACTGTGACTGCATTTTTAAATATAAATCAAGCCAATGGCACCATTTCGGCACTAAAAAGCTTTGATTTTGAGACTCTGAAAACGTTCCAGTTCCAAGTTGTCGCCACAGATTCTGGAACTCCGTCACTAAGCAGCAACGTCACAGTGCACGTGTTTATTCTGGATCAGAACGACAACGCTCCAGTCATCCTGTATCCGGTCAGCTCTAACGGTTCTGCTGAAGGTGTGGAGGAGATTCCCCGCAATGTGAACGCAGGACACTTGGTGACTAAAGTCAGAGCCTATGACGCTGATATAGGATATAACGGCTGGTTACTGTTCTCACTGCAGGAAGTTACTGCCCACAGTCTCTTTGGTTTGGACCGCTATACAGGACAGATCAGAACACTTCGCTCATTCACAGAGACAGACGAGGCTGAGCATAAACTGCTCATACTGGTGAAAGACAATGGCAACGTTTCCCTGTCAGCAACAGCTACTGTGGTTGTTAAACTTGTGGAGCCCAGAGAGGCTTTTGCTGCTGCTGATGTTAAAAGTGCAACAAAGGATGATGAGGATACTAATGTGACTTTTTACCTGATGATAACTTTGGGCTCAGTCTCAACACTTTTTCTCATCAGCATCATCGTGCTGATTGCAATGCAGTGCTCTAAGTCCACAGACTATACTTCTAAATATCTGCAAGAGACTAACTATGATGGGACACTGTGTCACAGCATCCAGTACAGATCTGGAGACAAGCGGTACATGTTAGTTGGACCCAGAATGAGTATAGGATCTACTATAGTCCCAGGCAGCCATGCCAACACACTAGTGCTCCCTGACAGGAGGGGGACATCCACAGAGGTAAGACCATGTTTTGATTCTAATTTAAGATATCCATCATATTTGTCTATGGTACGTGTTGACGGTTAAATGTGTCACACAATGATACTGCAAACCAAATGTACCTATCAGCCTAAATACAATACAATGAACCTGCCAAGACAGTTTTCTGCAGGTCAAAGCAAGATGATGTCCTCCTATAGGAATGATATTAATGTTCGCTATGTAAAGCAACATAAATGAAAAAGATAATGCCTTTTTTATTCAAGACATTACATCATATTTCGTGTCATTATTCATGGTTTATATCCTAGCACTGTCCAAGGTGCTGAAGTAGAGTGTGTTGGTCATATTGAGGGTTTTTCAAGTTGATATCGATCTTTGAATTCAGAAGATTTGCATAAACAACAATTTTAGGCATGAGAAAGCTATACAGGTACAACATCATATTTATATATATATATATACACAGTATATCTTAGTGTTGTCTATGGTGCTCACAGTCATTTTTGGTCATAATGCGGTGATTTTCAGTAAGTCAGAATATAAGTTTATAAGTACGTTTTGTGTAAACATTTTCAGATTCTTTGGCTTTTATTGGTTTTTCTAGAATGTGGTTTGTATTTTTTGAGAACTTGTTTTAAATTAACACGTTTGTTAATGTCTACACAAATGTTTTTGAGGTATTTAGGTGTAACTTGATCCAATGCATTTGCGTTATGAAGTCTATTAGCTCAACCTCAAATCTCGCTCTAGTAATGCTTCCCATTAATGGCCACTGTTAGGATTTCACAACAAAAATACGATTCAGAATCTGTGATTTACTGACTGGCAAAATAAAGACATTAAGGGAAAGGTGCACCATAAACGGTAGGGAAAATAAATAAATACAACTGTAACCTCTTTTAAAATTAAGCAACATATAAATTGTGCTTAAAGAGCTGCAACTGGCAAACACATTTTATAGTAGATTATCCCATGGCTTGCTCTAAAAATAATTAATATTGTCCCAAGTCCACAAGGTGTCAGTGTCAGTTCAGCATAAAGTGTTGTGTTATCGCGTTGGCCCAGCCCCATCCAGTGAGATTTTGTTCACGGCAACAGAGAAGAGAACACGTTCAAGAGAAACGAGCGTTGCCGTAATCTGTTCTAAAATACGTTTACGAAATGGGATATATTTCAACAGTATATTGTTTGGCTTAGGCAATTTGCTTTTTTCGTAAGGACCTGTGTTTGGATATAACAATAATAAACACAAAGCAAAACGATGGAGGTTGGAGGACAAAGACGTGGAATACAGCCCTGGTGGTTAGCCTTCTGTTTTCCTGTGATGTTCGGCTGCGTGGAGCAGGTTTCAGCGCAGATAAAATATTCAGTTCCAGAGGAAGTAAAAGTGGGATCTGTTGTTGGAAATGTCGCTAAGGATCTGGGATTGGACATCAGTTCGCTCGAGGAAAGGCGGTTTCGTATCGTTTCAGGAACGGAAGAAGCACAGTTTGCAGTAAATCAGAACAATGGTATCTTGTTTGTGCATCAGAAAATCGATCGAGAGGAGCTCTGTAAAACCGTGTCTCCATGTTTGATGAACTTAAAAATGGTCGCTGAGAACCCCATGGAAATACATTATGTGGGGGTTGAAATCACAGATGTAAATGATAATTCACCGAATTTTAAAGACGAAGAGAAGATTTTAGAGATTTCCGAGTCCACCGTTCCTGGCAAACGTTTCCAGTTACCAACTGCGCACGATCCAGATGTTGGTATCAACACTGTACGTGTGTATACATTAAATCAAAACGAATATTTCAGTATACAAATTCGAGAGAGAGGAGAGGATAAAATAACATTCCTGGTTCTGCAAAAGGCTCTAGATCGGGAAAAGCACCGTGAGCACAAATTGATTTTGACAGCAGCTGATGGTGGTAATCCACCGAGATCAGGGGCACTTAATGTTACAGTCACTGTTCTCGATTCTAATGATAACCACCCTACATTTAGTCAAGAAGTATATTCAGTTACAGTACCTGAAAATGTAGACGCAGATACAAGTGTAATTAAAGTAAAGGCAACTGATGAGGATGAGGGTGCAAATGGGGATATTGAATATTCTTTCGGTAGTCAACTTGACCAGAAGATATATGATATGTTTAGCTTAGATAAAAACACTGGAGAAATTCAAGTTAAGGGAGAAATTGACTTTGAGAAAGTTGACGTTTTTAAGTTGGATGTCCATGCCACTGACAAAGGACAACCTCCAATGAGTACTGACTGCAGGGTGTTAATCAAAGTGCTCGACAAAAACGACAACGAACCTCAAATAGAGGTGACATCCCTGTCAAACATGGTATCTGAAGACTCAAAACCAGGAACTGTCGTTTATTTTATAAGTATTATAGACCAAGATTCCGGATTAAACGGCAAAGTGATATGTAGTCTTTCAGATAATGTGCCATTTGATTTAAAACCATCATATCAAGACAATATGTACTCGTTAGTGTTGAAACAGCATTTGGATCGAGAATCAGTCTCGCATTACGAAATAACAATAACAGCTACAGATTGTGGTCAGCCTCCTCTTTCTACATTCAAAACTGTGAATATTGATGTATCTGACGTGAATGATAATAACCCAGAATTTTTACAAAATCCAATTGAAATGTACCTGTTGGAAAATAACGTTCCTGGAAACGAAATATTTTCTGTAAGTGCTTTGGATAAAGACTTCAATGAAAATGCAGCTTTAACTTATCATATAATCAGAGAAGAAAGTAATCAAGGTAAAGCTGCAACATTTCTAAATATAAATACAGATAACGGACACATTTCGGCGCTAAAAAGCTTTGACTTTGAGAGTCTGAAAAAGTTCCAATTCCAAGTTGTTGCCACAGATTCTGGAACTCCGTCACTAAGCAGCAACGTCACAGTGCACGTGTTCATTTTGGATCAGAACGACAACCCTCCAGTCATCCTGTATCCGGTCAGCTCTAACGGTTCTGCTGAAGGTGTGGAGGAGATTCCCCGCAATGTGAACGCAGGACACTTGGTGACTAAAGTCAGAGCCTATGACGCTGATATAGGATATAACGGCTGGTTACTGTTCTCACTGCAGGAAGTTACTGCCCACAGTCTCTTTGGTTTGGACCGCTATACAGGACAGATCAGAACACTTCGCTCATTCACAGAGACAGACGAGGCTGAGCATAAACTGCTCATACTGGTGAAAGACAATGGCAACGTGTCGCTGTCAGCAACAGCTACTGTGGTTGTCAAACTTGTGGAGCCCAGAGAGGCTTTTGCTGCTGCTGATGTTAAAAGTGCAACAAAGGATGATGAGGATAATAATGTGACTTTTTACCTGATGATAACTTTGGGCTCAGTCTCAACACTTTTTCTCATCAGTATCATTGTGCTGATTGCAATGCAGTGCTCTAAATCCACAGACTATACTTCTAAATATCTACAAGAGACTAACTATGATGGGACACTGTGTCACAGCATCCAGTACAGATCTGGAGACAAGCGGTACATGTTAGTTGGACCCAGAATGAGTATAGGATCTACTATAGTCCCAGGCAGCCATGCCAACACACTAGTGCTTCCTGACAGAAGGGGGACATCTACAGAGGTAAATGTATGTTTTATTTCTTACACAATGGTATTGTACAACTATACATTACATTGTTGTCGATATGTTGTTTAAGGTTAGAGATATTTTTTTTGTTTTCTGTATTTCTCCCTGCTGGTGTGAAATGGTGCCGTCCATGGTGATTTAATATATATACTTTTTTGTTGGGGGTGATTTTCTCAGTTTTTGGCATTGGAGGGGAATATTCACTATGTTTTACAAAATGTCTATAATACACATTTACTATTCGTACTTCAAGCCACGCATTTTGAATTAATCTAAGGGCACCCGAAGTGTTGTTTAAATAAATAAGAACAACACACTCTGGATGGGGGTTGCTGAGAAACATACAAAATATTTTCTTTGACTTTCGGGAATATTCTCACTCTGTGAAGCACCCTTCACTGAGAATATGGAGCACGTTTTATCTCACAGTGTCCTTTACTACGAGACTGTTTGCAACATTATAACATAAAGCAGTTATATGTAATAAAGAAGGAGGTAGTGAAATTAAACAAAATTAGGATTTCGTATGGTATTGTAGCCCACTGGTCACATGGTGTCAGTGTGGCCAAGGTAATGGCTGTGAAGCTCATTCTGCACAGGCCCTGCCCATCTCTGGATCCTCTCTTATCGAGGTGGTATGCAGACGGAATACATATCGTGGTATCTAACATGATTATCGGATAATGGTTATGTGTGGAAGCTTATATTTGAGAATCGTGAAATGGATACATTCAGACTTGTTCGTTGAATAATTGGATCGCTGTATTTGCCGGAAGGAAATCCTTAATTTTTGTTTCACAATGGGAGAACGAGGACAAAGGCGCCGAGTGAACTGCTGCTGGATGGCCGGGATTTTGTTTCTGGGCTTTGGAGAACTGGTTTCAGCTCAGCTAAGATACTCTGTTCCAGAAGAAGTACAAGTTGGCTCAGTTGTTGGAAATGTTGCTAAAGATTTAGGGCTTGATATCAGCACTTTGACAGACAGGCGGTTCCGTATCGTTTCAGGACCCAATGATGCGCTGTTTCAATTGAATCAAATCAATGGAGTGTTGTATATTGGAAAAACTATGGACCGCGAAGAGCTCTGTGATGGATTCAAGGTTTGTTTGATAAATCTAAAAATTGTTGTTGAAATCCCACTGGAAATCCACTACGCCAGCGTCGAAATAACGGATGTTAATGATCATTCACCGACTTTTCCAGAAAGCGAGCAGCGCCTGGAAATAGCAGAGAATACTCCTCCAGGCACTCGTTTCCAAATTCATGCAGCTAGAGACCCTGATGTCGGTACACACTCAGTCCGGATATACAAATTGAGTTCAAATGATATCTTTGATGCTGAAATCAGAGACAGCGAGGAGGACAAGATACCATTCTTAGTGCTGAAAAAGCCTTTGGATAGGGAGCAAAAGGCAGAACACCGTTTAGTCCTGACAGCTCTAGATGGGGGCAGTCCGTCAGAATCTGGGAGTTTAAATGTAACTATCACTGTGCTAGATACAAATGATAATCGCCCTGTGTTTAGCAAAGATATATACACCGTAACATTACAAGAAAATGCCCAAATAGGAACCCTTGTAATACAAATAAATGCTACAGATTTAGATGAAGGTTCTAATAGCAAAATTGAATTTATGTTTGGAAAAACGCAAAAGAAAAAAGTGAACGATTTATTTGAATTAGACAGCGTGACCGGTGAGATTCGAGTTAAAGGAAAAGTGGACTTTGAGGACGCAGAGATGTATAGACTAGATCTGCAGGCTTCAGATAAAGGCCAGCCACCTTCAACAGGTCAAAGCAGAGTCGTTATAAAAATAAAAGATATGAACGACAACAAGCCAGACATTGAGGTAACATCATTGTCTAACATAGTCCCAGAAGATTTAAAGCCTGGCACAGTCATATCTCTCATCAGTGTTACTGACAGAGATGCGGGGGTTAATGGTAAAGTTATTTGTAAAATATTGGGAAATGTTCCGTTTGATTTGACGCCATCCATTGAGGAAAACATGTATTCCCTTGTCACAAAGGGGCGTTTAGACAGAGAAGTTGTGTCCCATTATGACATCACAATAACAGCTACTGACTGCGGGGAACCTCAACTTTCCACCGTAAAAACCTTAAGTGTTCAGGTGTCAGATGTAAACGACAACAGGCCACTTTTCAGTCAGAATCCTTTGGAACTTTATTTGGTAGAAAACAATGCCCCTGGTGCTTCAATATTTTCTGTAAATGCAGCTGATAATGATATGAATGAAAATGCACTAATAACATACAACCTTGTGAGAGGGGATGGCCTGCTTCGTGATATGACGTCATTCCTAAATATCAACTCTGAAACTGGAGATATTTCAGCACTAAAAAGCTTTGACTTTGAGACTCTGAAAACTTTCAAGTTCCAAGTTGTCGCCACAGATTCGGGAACTCCGTCACTAAGCAGCAACGTCACAGTGCACGTGTTCATTCTGGATCAGAACGACAACGCTCCAGTCATCCTGTATCCGGTCAGCTCTAACGGTTCTGCTGAAGGTGTGGAGGAGATTCCCCGCAATGTGAACGCAGGACACTTGGTGACTAAAGTCAGAGCCTATGACGCTGATATAGGATATAACGGCTGGTTACTGTTCTCACTGCAGGAAGTTACTGCCCACAGTCTCTTTGGTTTGGACCGCTATACAGGACAGATCAGAACACTTCGCTCATTCACAGAGACAGACGAGGCTGAGCAGAAACTGCTCATACTGGTGAAAGACAATGGCAACGTTTCCCTGTCAGCAACAGCTACTGTGGTTGTTAAACTTGTGGAGCCCAGAGAGGCTTTTGCTGCTGCTGATGTTAAAAGTGCAACAAAGGATGATGAGGATAATAATGTGACTTTTTACCTGATGATAACTTTGGGCTCAGTTTCAACACTTTTTCTCATCAGTATCATCGTGCTGATTGCAATGCAGTGCTCTAAGTCCACAGACTATACTTCTAAATATCTACAAGAGACTAACTATGATGGGACACTGTGTCACAGCATCCAGTACAGATCTGGAGACAAGCGGTACATGTTAGTTGGACCCAGAATGAGTATAGGATCTACTATAGTCCCGGGCAGCCATGCCAACACACTAGTGCTCCCTGACAGGAGGGGGACATCCACAGAGGTAAGACCATGTTTTGATTCTAATTTAAGATATCCATCATATTTGTCTATGGTACGTGTTGACGGTTAAATGTGTCACACAATGATACTGCAAACCAAATGTACCTTTCACCCTAAATACAATACAATGAACCTGCCAAGACAGTTTTCTGCAGGTTACAGCAAGATGATGTCCTCCTATAGGAATAATATTAATGTTTGCTATGTAAAGCAACATAAATGAAAAAGATAATGCCTTTTTTACTCAAGACATTACATCATATTTCGTGTCATTATTCATGGGTTATATCCTAGCACTGTCCAAGGTGCTGAAGTAGAGTGTGTTGGTCATATTGAGGGTTTTTCAAGTTGAGATCGATCTTTGAATTCAGAAGATTTGCATAAACAACCATTTTAGGCATGAGGAAGCTATACAGGTACAACATCATATTTATATATATAAAAATATACACAGTATATCTTAGTGTTGTCTATGGTGCTCACAGTCATTTTTGGTCATAGTGCGGTGATTTTCAGTAAGTCAGAATATACGTTTATAAGTAAGTTTTGTGTAAACATTTTCAGATTCTTTGGCTTTTATTGTTTTTTCTAGAATGTGGTTTGTATTTTTTGAGAACTTGCTTAAAATGAACACGTTTATTAGTGTCTACAGTACACAAATGTTTTTGAGGTATTTAGGTGTATCTTGATCCAATGCATTTGCGTTATGATGTCTATTAGCTCAACCTCAAATCTCGCTCGAGTAATGCTTCCCATTAATGGCCACTGTTAGGTTTTCACAACAAAAATACGATTCAGAATCTGTAAAATGACAATAAAGAAATTAAGGGAAACGTGCACCTTAAACGGTAGGGAAAATAAATAAATAAATACAACTGTAACCTGTTTTAAAATTAAGCAACATATACATTGTGCTTAAAGAGCTGCAACTGGCAAACACATTTTCTCATAGATTATCCCATGGCTTGCTCTAAAAATAATTCATATTGTACCAAGTCCACAAGGTGTCAGTGTCAGTTCAGCATAAAGTGTTGTGTTATCGCGTTGGCCCTGCCCGCTCCAGTGAGATTTTGTTCACGGCAACAGAGAAGAGAACACGTTCAAGAGAAACGAGCGTTGCCGTAATCTGTTCTAAAATACGTTTACGAAATGGGATATATTTCAACAGTATATTGTTTGGCTTAGGCAATTTGCTTTTTTCGTAAGGACCTCTGTTTGGATATAATAATAATAAACACAAAGCAAAAACGATGGAGGCTGGAGGACAAAGACGTGGAATACAGCCCTGGTGGTTAGCCTTCTGCTTTCCTGTGATGTTCGGCTGCGTGGAGCAGGTTTCAGCGCAGATCAAATATTCAGTTCCAGAGGAAGTAAAAGTGGGATCTGTTGTTGGAAATGTCGCTAAGGATCTGGGATTGGAAATCAGTTCGCTCGAGGAAAGGCGGTTTCGTATCGTTTCAGGAACGGAAGAAGCACAGTTTGCAGTAAATCAGAACAATGGTGTCTTGTTTGTGCATCAGAAAATCGATCGAGAGGAGCTCTGTAAAACCGTGTCTCCATGTTTGATGAACTTAAAAATGGTCGCTGAGAACCCCATGGAAATACATTATGTGGGGGTTGAAATCACAGATGTAAATGATAATTCACCGAATTTTAAAGACGAAGAGAAGATTTTAGAGATTTACGAGTCCACCGTTCCTGGCAAACGTTTCCAGTTACCAACTGCGCACGATCCAGATGTTGGTATCAACACTGTACGTGTGTATAAATTAAATCAAAACGAATATTTCAGTATACAAATTCGAGAGAGAGGAGAGGATAAAATAACATTCCTGGTTCTGCAAAAGGCTCTAGATCGGGAAAAGCACCGTGAGCACAAATTGATTTTGACAGCAGCTGATGGTGGTAATCCACCGAGATCAGGGGCACTTAATGTTACAGTCACTGTTCTCGATTCTAATGATAACCACCCTACATTTAGTCAAGAAGTATATTCAGTTACAGTACCTGAAAATGTAGACGCAGATACAAGTGTAATTAAAGTAAAGGCAACTGATGAGGATGAGGGTGCAAATGGGGATATTGAATATTCTTTCGGTAGTCAACTTGACCAGAAGATATACGATATGTTTAGCTTAGATAAAAACACTGGAGAAATTCAAGTTAAGGGAGAAATTGACTTTGAGAAAGTTGACGTTTTTAAGTTGGATGTCCATGCCACTGACAAAGGACAACCTCCAATGAGTACTGACTGCAGGGTGATAATCAAAGTGCTCGACAAAAACGACAACGAACCTCAAATAGAGGTGACATCCCTGTCAAACATGGTATCTGAAGACTCAAAACCAGGAACTGTCGTTTATCTTATAAGTATTATAGACCAAGATTCCGGATTAAACGGCAAGGTGATATGTAGTCTTTCAGATAATGTGCCATTTGATTTAAAACCATCATATCAAGACAATATGTACTCGTTAGTGTTGAAACAGCATTTGGATCGAGAGTCAGTCTCGCATTACGAAATAACAATAACAGCTACAGATTGTGGTCAGCCTCCTCTTTCTACATTCAAAACTGTGAATATTGATGTATCTGACGTGAATGATAATAACCCAGAATTTTTACAAAATCCAATTGAAATTTACCTGTTGGAAAATAACGTTCCTGGAAACGAAATATTTTCTGTAAGTGCTTTGGATAAAGACTTCAATGAAAATGCAGCTTTAACTTATCATATAATCAGAGAAGAAAGTAATCAAGGTAAAGCTGCAACATTTCTAAATATAAATACAGATAACGGACACATTTCGGCGCTAAAAAGCTTTGACTTTGAGAGTCTGAAAAAGTTCCAGTTCCAAGTTGTCGCCACAGATTCTGGAACTCCGTCACTAAGCAGCAACGTCACAGTGCACATGTTCATTTTGGATCAGAACGACAACCCTCCAGTCATCCTGTATCCGGTCAGCTCTAACGGTTCTGCTGAAGGTGTGGAGGAGATTCCCCGCAATGTGAACGCAGGACACTTGGTGACTAAAGTCAGAGCCTATGACGCTGATATAGGATATAACGGCTGGTTACTGTTCTCATTGCAGGAAGTTACTGCCCACAGTCTCTTTGGTTTGGACCGCTATACAGGACAGATCAGAACACTTCGCTCATTCACAGAGACAGACGAGGCTGAGCATAAACTGCTCATACTGGTGAAAGACAATGGCAACGTTTCCCTATCAGCAACAGCTACTGTGGTTGTTAAACTTGTGGAGCCCAGAGAGGCTTTTGCTGCTGCTGATGTTAAAAGTGCAACCAAGTATGATGAGGATAATAATGTGACTTTTTACCTGATGATAACTTTGGGCTCAGTCTCAACACTTTTTCTCATCAGCATCATCGTGCTGATTGCAATGCAGTGCTCTAAGTCCACAGACTATACTTCTAAATATCTACAAGAGACTAACTATGATGGGACACTGTGTCACAGCATCCAGTACAGATCTGGAGACAAGCGGTACATGTTAGTTGGACCCAGAATGAGTATAGGATCTACTATAGTCCCGGGCAGCCATGCCAACACACTAGTGCTCCCTGACAGGAGGGGGACATCCACAGAGGTAAGACTTAATCATTAATTGAATAACTTTTGTATTGCATATACTTTAACTTGTACAGATAACTTATTGCGGCTAACTTCTTCTACTTATTGTACAACAAAGAGGTGATTTTCTTAGTGCTTGCTATTTGTGAAAGAGCTAAATGGTTTTCATGTGGTTGGTGTTTCAGAAATATGCAGTGCTTTCCCTCTCCGGAAATTATCAAATATGTTCGGGGTATTTATTCTATTACTGTTTCTATCATTAGATGTCCTTTGTGCATGGCACTGCAGTCTGAACGTTGTCATGCCGGCCTCATTGTATGTTTTCAAAAAGAGAGCGTGTTTTCTAATTTCAGCAACAACTTTAAAATAAACATATACTTACAAGGCTACACAGGTTCAAGCACTGTCCATGGTGCTGAACATTTGTCTAGTATCTTAGAATTTATTATAGTCCCTAGTAGCAATATAATTACTTTAGTGTTGGGTTGCATGCAGGCAACAGGACTGATACAATAAACTATCACAATCCATGTGTTTTATAAGCTGTTGGCTGCCCTACGATATGTTTGTTTTGCCATATGAAAGCTGCTGGAATATTCAACATTTAGTTGACTTGTTTAGCATTTCGTGTGACTGATATTCCTACTGGAGAAGCTTATATTTCGTGGACAATACAAAAAAATGACTTCTTCTTTTATAATACATGCTGAAATGGTCCACTGGGTGTCACTAGTTGCTAAAGTGTCAGGTTACATTGATTCTGCCCCTTTCAAAATGTGTATTTCAGCTGCACCACACAAAGAATGCCTTCGTTTCGGATTTGATCTGTGCGTTTCCCCTGCGAACGTGGTTTCCTGGAATATAATCTCAGGAATACTGAAGGTGTTTTAAGTGGAATATATTTGTGGATGCTTTTCAAATTATTATACCAAAGGAGACAGAGGATAAAACGGAAGAATTATGTCTTGGTCGCGACCCCTGCTTTTCTGTTTGCTGTTCAGCTTTGCTGAGCTAATTGTAGCTCAAATAAAATACTCGACTCCAGAGGAAGTTAAAATTGGATCTAATGTTGGAAATGTTGCCAAGGATTTGGGCCTTGATGTGAGTACATTGTTAAACAGGCGTTTTCGTATTGTGGCTGGAGCTCAAGACGCGCTATTTGAGGTAAACCCGAACAATGGCGTTTTGTATGTTGATAAGAATATCGACCGGGAACGTCTGTGCGACAGGAATGGTCCTTGTTTAATAGATCTGAAAATCGTGGTTGAAAATCCACTTGAAATCCATTATGTCACAGTGGAAATAACCGATGCAAATGACCATGTACCGACATTTGTCGAGGAAGAAAAGATCATCGAAATAACAGAAAATACTTTGCCAGGAGCACGATTTCAATTACCAGGCGCACGAGATCCAGATATCGGAATTAATTCAGTCCAGCGCTATAAACTCAGTCAAAACGATCATTTTAATCTTGAAATTAGAGAAAGGGGAGAGGACAAAATCCCTTTCTTGGTGCTGCAGAGGCACTTAGACAGAGAGCAGAAAACAAACCATAGCTTGGTTTTAACCGCTATGGATGGGGGGACACCGCAGAAGTCAGCACATCTTAATCTTACCATAAATGTTCTCGATATCAATGATAACAGACCAACTTTTTCGAAGGAGGTTTATTCTGTATTATTACAAGAAAATGTTGCTTTGGATGCGGTTGTAACAAAAGTGCAGGCAACTGATCTCGACGAGGGAGCTAATGGGGATGTCGAATATGCATTTGGAGGCGACATTAACTCCAAGGTTTTGGAGCTATTTACTCTAGACAGAAATACTGGCGAAATAAAGGTTAAAGGACAAATTGACAATGAAGCAGCTGATGTTTATAATTTAGACGTCCAAGCCTCGGACAGAGGTCAGCCCCCTACGACAACGGACTGTAGAGTTATAATAAAGATTCAAGATGTGAATGACAATGAACCAGAAATAGAGGTGACATCTATATCTAGCATGGTCCCAGAAGATTCAAAACAAGGTACCGTGATCTCTCTTATTAGTGTTACCGACATTGATTCTGGCCTGAATGGCAAAATCAAGTGCAGTCTGACAGGAAATGTACCATTTGAATTAAAACCGTCGTTTAAAGAAAACATGTATTCATTAGTGACAAAAG